ATTAATTGTATTCTGAAGCACAGTATAAAAATAGATTTTTGTTGAAAAAGAACTGATCAAAATCAGAGAACACTTACAGATACCTCCAAGTTATTGGTGTTAATCTGGCACCTTGAGCTAATTTCCTTAATTATATGACAAACCCTATTTAACTGGCAGCATTCCTCAAATTTTCACTGAGATTGCAAGATGGCGGGCGCCGCTCTAAGGTGACTGAAACCCTTTATTTAACAGGAGGCAGTCCAGATGAAGGCCAAAGGGATGACCCTTTCAGCCACTGCAAGAGAAGTTGGTCGTTCCAAATCTATGATTTCTAGAATATTGCAGCTTTACAATGACACTAATTCATTCAAGTCCCCCAGAAAGGCTGGTTGTCCACATAAGACAAATGCATGAGAAGACAGGATCACGTGGAGACTCTCAATGGGGAATCGGTTCAACACTGCAGCTGGAATTGCTCAGCAGTTCAGCGCTGAACAGGATAAGGATCTGTCTCGGCACATTTAAGGGAAGTCGGACTGAATGCGCACTCTGCAGTGATGAATCCTCCCATCAGCAGAAAGAATCAAAAGGTTAGGCTCACCTTTGCTGAGGAGCATGTTGTGTGGAGAGAGGAGAACTGGTTCAAAGTTCACTTTAGTGATGAGAGCAAGTTTAATTTATTTGGGTCAGATGGGAAACATTATGTTCATCGTCAAACTGGGGAAAGACTGAACCCTGAATGCATAAAGAAGTGAAAAGTGGAGGAGGAAGTGTCATGGTTGGGAGAATGTTTTCAGCAGCGGGTGTTGGGCATCTTATACAGATACATGGCAGGGTGAATGCAATTGTTTATCAGAACCTCCTTCAGCAACATGCAGTTCCTTCCCTGCAAGCGTCTCCCAATCAGCCTGTAATTTTCATGTAAGACAATGCCCCCGTCACACTGCAAAACGGGAAAAGCAGTTCCTTGAAGCTAAGAACATTGAAATAATGAAATGGCCAGTCCAGAGTCCTGATCTAAACCCAACTGAAAATCTCTGGAAAATCCTTGGCGACAAAGTTATGGCTAAGAAACCCATACAGTCACTGAACTATGGAAGAGAATGGAAGAAGAGTGGACCAAGATCACACCAGCGCAGTGTGAGAGAAGTCCTTGTGCTGAAGTCCTTCAAAGCAAGAGCCTCTACAATTCCTACTAATTTCGAACAGCTGTAAACCTCCAAAATTGTAGTTCTAATCTTCTTTCGTGCTACAGTGGTTACTGTTCTCTCATTTTAAGCTCTGTGTTTCCCACAAAATAAAAGTTTTTTGTTGAAATGCTTTGGTGATTTTGTCAAACATGTTAGTAGAACAGTGGTATATCCACAGCTAATATTCCCTCAAATTTTGAGCGATGAAGATTAACAATATTTCAGAAAAAGTATTTATAAAAAGTATTTATAGATTGTTCTCTAATTTTGATCTCCACTATATATAGTTATTAATGAATAAATATTTATGCATATAGAGCCATCTAGAGGAAAACAGAGGTATTTCTTGAGCACTTTATGACCAATGATTCACACGCACACACACACACACACACAGGAGGAGTCGGACCTGAAGGCAGATACTTCACGGTAAAGTCAAAGACTGTGTCTGATAACAGTCAAAGTCACTTACAGTGGAATTATAACTAAATGCTACCTTGGAATTATAAGGTCCTATCTGCAATCTGAGCGGTTTTGAGATATTGAGCTCAAATTTTTTGCACTCCATATACTTTGTAGATAGAACCTTTTTATTTTCTAAATAAAAAGTCCCAAAATGTACAACTACACAACACACACACACACACACACAAAACATCACATAATGTAAATAAGTATCACAGAATAAGAATGTGAATAACTCAATTTGAACAAAAATGTCAGAAAGAACCTTATAATTCCAAGGTGACGTAATTTTAAATTCTTTTGATATTATGTTCTTTATGTTCTTGACTCAGATTCATATTTCCAATTAGTTTATATTTTATATTATTCTTATATTTGGGTTTCTTAGTCTTTCACATCCTCAAGACTGAGATTGATAACTGTCACTTACAGTGGAGTTAGAAATAATTTTAGATTCTTATGATTTAAAAAAAATATTTTTTCATTCATATATGTATTTCATATATTAGTTCATTAGTTCAATGAGTATCTAATATGAATTCTTATATATGTTTTTTTTCAGCAGCTGTAAGCTGGGATACTTTATTTGTCTGATATAATTCAAAGTCTACTTGTGTATTAGACTAATAAACAAGATGTTCTAAAATATGTAAATTTTGGTAAAACAACAAAAAAGAGATATTCTTGTGTCTTGAACTATTGAGATTCAAATGTTAAACTGATAGTCCAGTTTAACTGGATTAGGAACTGTACATCAAAAACACCTATTGCCATGCACACGTACATACTTAATTTCTTTTTCTTTTCCATGTTCAGGACCGTCATGCTGTGGGGAAATCAATGCCTGTGGTTGACCAGCAACAGAACTACAAACTCTTGTCTCTGACCGAGTCTGATGGGAAAACAGTCATGAAGTTTCAGAGGTCCATCGGTTCCTGTGATGAAAATGACTTACCCATCACTGTGAGCCTGCTTAACCATTGTCCTTTATATTCATTACAAAGGGAAAGTAGTTCAACACCAGCAATATAATCCTCCCCTTTCATTGTTTGTAAGATGCCGTTTTATCCAGAAAACAATGATGGTGGAACTATGGCATTACAAATAATACCAGCTATGTAAAGGAATCCACACAATGTTAGGTCCACTGGGATCAGGGTGTTTCTGAGAACTCCCCTCTCTGAACAAACTGCTGACCTTGTTTGTCAAGGAGCTCTCAACTGCACATCAAAAAACCCTCCTTAAACTGAAAACATGGACTGTCTTTTTGAACTTAAAACCTCTGAAATTCCAGATCAAAAATGAGTTCTCAATGGCCACATACACACTGCAAACTTTTATGAGTGACAACTGCATTTTAGCTGCAGTGTGCATGTGGTTAATTTTTGTTTATTTTATTTTATTTTATAAGTGTTTATTTTTATTTATCAGAACCTCCCCATGAAGCTGATCTATGCATATGGACAGAATGATAATATCACGTACCACAGTACCCGAAGGGGCAGGAAGGAGCTGAACCTGTTGAAGTACATGCCTCGGGTCAACCCTCCAAACAGCAACTTTTTTGACATAACTATGGTCAATGTAAGAAAGATTTTTACTTTGTTGTTTTGCTGTTCTGTCTGTAAACCCAAGAATGAAGTTCAAAAGAACAGCATTTATTTGAAATAGAAAAATATTTTGTAACATTTTAAATGTCTTTTCTGTCACTTTTGGTCAATTTAATGTGTCCTTGTTGAATAAATGATTAATTTCTTTAAAAAAAAAAATCTTACTGACCCCATACTAGTGTACCTCACAGTGGTTTGCATAGATTATATTACAGGTTGATCTCTTTAAAGTGCTAATGAGCTTTTACATATGAACTTTACATGTTGATTACATTTACAATCATTTCAGTTCACTGTACCAGCCAATCAAACCCACTATCACTGCAAGATCGTGAGAGCCCCGACATTTGATCGCAAACAGCACATTTATCGCGTAAGTGAGTCTATGAACTTCACACAAATGATCTGTCCAGCGATCTGTCAATCATGGTTCATCTTCGACTTATTTTCATTTTGTCCAGATTGAGCCGGTGATCACAAACTTTGACCTCGTGCATCATCTGCTGCTGTACCGCTGCCCTCTGACTGTGACGGAGCCGTTTGAGGCGGAGTGTTTTACTGGGGTGGATGGAGAGTGTATGGAGACCGTGGCTGTGTGGGGAGTTGGTGGAGGGGTTAGTCTCACCTGTGACGTTTTAAGGCATTTTTAATGTGAGGGGGAAAAAATTAAGCCATTACTTACTTGAATGAACTGTTAACCACTGCGACCATATTACGGATCTGAGAATCGGATCACTTTGATTATTAAGCGAGTCATTCAGACCGGGTAAACGGATTCAACTAGGTGATTAAAAGATCTGCCTCAAAAGAATTATTATTTTTCAGCTTTTATTAACAACGGTAATTATTGAAATACTATTCATGTGTAAACTTTCTTAATGAGATAAAATTACTGATTGAACCTTTAAGTAACTTTTTAATTATATGTTTTTAAAGGCTTTTGAATTCCCTGAAGTGGCAGGACTTCCAATTGGAGGAAATGTTGGTGATTTTCTGTATCACACAATAAAGGGACACTTCCTGACCTCAGTGTCATCCCGTCTGCACCCTGCATGAGCGGCTGTGCCACAAAAAGTCTTGCTTTGCTATCGCTGCTCCTCTGTTTGGCAGTGCAGTGGGCATCCTTATGAAACATTAATGCAAAATGCTACTGATGTAACCTATTGTTCTTTCATTTTCTGATTAAATGTCAATCATTTTAACAGAGCAAAACTCCTGGATCATATGGACGGTTTTGACAGCAACCTGAAAACCAGAAAAACTAAAATTTAGCAAACTATATATATATATATATATATATATATATATAC